ACTTACCCACCTTACTTGAAAATTTAAGGGTTTGGTTCAACATCGGAAGGTTCATCCTCTTGAAAATTATTCAAGAAAAGACATTCTTAAAGCATTGTTTGTGTGCCCTCTGCCCTCTCCCAACTGATTGCTTAACAATCAATAATGTTTTAATCTGCTTCAAGAACTTGTTTTTCCTAAAATTTTCTCATTTTGTCAACAGGTTTATTGAAATTTTCTTTGACATTCCCATTTACCCACTCATTTATTTTTTAGCACTAAATCGGGAGAGAGAAAAGAAAGAACCGTTTAAGCATTGCCCAATTGTACATTTCATGTCGAATCAAAACGTAAGGTGTATGAAATAGTTGCTATTTTGTAATCATAGAGAGTTATTTTTTGTAATGGATTTATTACGAATGTTTTACTAACTCATATCCAAAATAAAATAATACATTTTTGTGTATTTATTTCTTCACCTGTCTCCCAAGACGTGTACAAAGGTAAAGCAAAAGTAATATACTTGACATTGCTCATCAAGTTTGAGAAGATTTAGCATTGATTTAAAAAGGGAAAAAACATGTAAATCAAAGCTTTTGTAGTTTTCTTATGGTTACTGTTTTAATGAATAATGACAAATGAATGTAGTTCCAGTTTTTGTTTGATAGCATTTGACTTATTTTTCAACACGAAGGATGGCATCATCTTGCAACAGGATCATAAAATATAATCATAATCTTTTCTGAATGACGCTTCGAACTCTATCTTATTTTTATTTTTATTTTGATTTATCATCCAGTTGTAGTAGTGAGTGGAATAGCATTTTAAAAAAGTTTTTTTGAGCTTCATGCATGCAAGTTCAGGGCAAAATATATGCTGTAAAATTTTGAAATCAGTCAAAAATCTATTTCATCATAGTCAGTTAACAGTATTTCAGATGAAAGAATAATTAAAATATTCAATTATTTGATCATATTTTGCTATTAAAGCTGATGTCTCTATTTGCAAACTAGATAAACGACTATTAACCAGAAATTTCATTATTTTTAAATCCGCCGACGTAATATGTTTTCTTTGAACTTTACAGATTCTCGTACACCACGAATGTCAGACGACAGCGGAGAGGAACTGATGCGTTTGTCGCTCAACAGTCATAGGTCAGACGACCTCCAAAGGTCAACCTCAAAATCGAGAGACTCACGTCGATTGAGAAAAACCAAGGGGAAAACTTTAAATCAAAACGTCTTAACGTTTTATACGCTGTGGAATGCGTTTCATTGTGTGACTATTTTTGTCTGTCGTTCCTACATGATTGGCTCAATGTGGTTCACATGACCAACGTATACAACAAATTATAAACCGGATTTTTGTATTTTAAGCTCTTAAAAAGGTTACATTGTGTAGACATGGTGCTTCTAAAATTATAAATATTCTTTTGTGAAGCTAAATTAGTGATGAAACCAAACTTTTGAGACGTTGTAAAGCGCAAAGGACGTAAAATGCCTAGAATAAGAACTATTAGGTATTAGAAACACTTGTATTTAAGAAATAAGGTATCATTTTTAAACATCTATCTGGATATAAATACGGGTCGGTCACGAGATTAAATTCCATAAAGCCCGAAGGGCTTTCTGATGAATTTAATCTAGTACCGACCCGTATTTATAGCCCGATAGACGTTTTAAATTGATACCTTATTACTTAAATTTACATTTGTGACTTAGTCATACTTTATATTTGCCTGATTGTGACTTTTAAAGAGCGAAATGCATTATTTTTCAAAACCAACGGCATGTATGTAATCCACTGAACGCGCGTCGACCCTTTATGACGTCACTGAGAAACTACGTCGAACGTTTATCCATACGCACATGTATGACCTCTTGACCCCGTACTGGTATTTATACAGTCATAGATAAGCATTGCTTTCAGAAGTGTTATATAAAGGAAAGCATTTGCAAATGTAAATATTTTGTTTTAAAGGATATAAAATACATGTAATAATAATTCTAATACAGCTTTATGACGAGATAAAATCCTTGGAAAGGCATACCGATACCAAAGAAACTTACAATTATAGTTGAACAGGTCAGTGCAGTATACAAACAACACAGATATAAATAACTGCAATAAAATGTAAACAAAGATAATGCAAGATAACCAGCACGAACACGGATCGCCATTCCACGCCGACACCCGTGACAATAAAGCAGTCAGGTGTAACGGATGCGACGAGTATACCCTAGTGTTGATGTTTCGTAGATACGAGGGGTGATCAAAAAGTTCGCGAACTATCTCTATATCTACAAAATAGAATGAAATTCGGTACACACATAGCTATACACAAGGTCTATTAATAGCATATGCTAAATAAAGTTTTTCTCCTTCTTTGTGACGTCACAATGTAAAAATGACGTCACTATGTAGGTCACTTGTGACGAAAAATGGTTGTCTCAGTCGAACTCGTTCAAGAAACGACTATACAATTTATTGTATATCTTAGAAATCCCTTTGTAGTATCATATAATAATTTGTATACAGTTTATTGAGATAAATGAGTTCCTATAAAATCAATTAATGATTACGAGGGTTGTCCAAAATGTTCGTGGACAATGACGTTTTTATCAAAATAAATGGCTTTATATGCATCTATTGTATATCAAAATATTTCTTATGAAAAACCAAGTCAGAATGGTTAAATTTTTATTGACGGAACTTCATATTTTTGTAAACATCGGGGTCTTTAAACATCGCAGTTTGCGCGTACGGACCAGTCGGACGTTAAGCTAATTTCATTATAACGTCAAACATTTGGATCTTGACTTAACACACGTTCATGGACACACACTAAATTTCTTTTTTAAGGTGCAATGCACTTCCAATTGCTAGAAATAATCATTATGTATAGATTATAATTTATTTAATTTTTAAAATTCAAAACAAAGCACAAAAATTTACGAGCGTCATCTAAATAAGCAGTTTGTATACACAAAATGCACAGCCCAGTCCGACGCTGCGCTAGTTTTATAACAACGTCATAAATAGAAATCTCCATTTTCAGTAAATTTCATGTGATTTTAAATTCTTGTAGTGTCATCAAATTTGTACACACCGTTGAAAAATTGTATAAACCAATCTGAAATTGATGCACTAAATATATTTCAATAATTTTGAGTTGTTTTAACAAATATTTTGTCTTTTACGTCGTTTCAACAGTATAAAAACTTTTTTAGTCGGACGCTGTCCCGTGCAGACGGCTGACGTCGCTTTTTTTTTGGCGAGTTTTGACACATATTTGTTAGGGTTTTGTTTAGTATTTGCACTGTCTATATAGTAAGCGATACTTAAGATATCATAAGATGATTATAGCCTCTTTATTTGTGTTACATAAAATTTTTATAAATTTTTGACTTGTCTTATATAGAAAAAAATCATTTTAATCCGAACACATTATATCAGAGTTTATGTCATTTTAACCTTGGTCCGTGCGCACAATCCACGACCTTAAAAGATCCCGATTTTTACAAATATATTAAGTTTCAGCAATAAAAATTATATCATTCTGATTTGGTTTTTCATAAGAAATGTTTTGATATACAACATATTTATATAGAACCATTTATTTTCACAAAAACGTCATTGTCCACGAACTTTTTGGACAACCCTCGTAGATTGATCATTTTAGCGAAGGAAGGCAGATGGTTAAAAATGATACTTGTCATCTTGCCCAGTGAAAGTAAGTTTGAAAAGATATGTATTTCTAATTAAGCTATTTGCTATCAAAGACCTCCAATTAACACTTTGAAAAAATGTTGAATATTTGAGCAATTATATAATTATTAAATACCTAAGATATCGTTTACTTTAGATTTTAAACATATTAGATATGATAAAAAGGAGGCAGCCATTCTCTATCCACCTTGAATAAAGGTCTCTCCCGAGACAGAAGATTTGTGTTTTAATGGTTGCCATGCTTATTTTTGGGACGGATATTCTTATTCATCCATTTGTTGCCGAGATATGACCATTTCTGACAAATGAATTGTTCTTGTCATAAAAATTAACTCACATGGGAAGAAATATAAAACTCAGAAAAATCTTTCAACTTTTGTGACAGAGCGCTAGGGAGTGGGTCACGTGACCGCTAATATCACGTGATTCACGCATGCACAGAACGATGGTTGATGTGCATTTAAATTGGGAAGGATTTATTTAAAATATAATCAACATTAAAACCAAATATTGTTTTTTTTCATGGAAATTATTCAAATAGTTCGCGAACTTTTTTTTATCACATCTCGTAATGATATCGAAATATGCGTATGCCTATTAACGAGTCGTGTTCAGCTTTAAGCCAGAGCTGATCTTAATAGGTAAAAATTTTAAAGCGTTGATTGTTCTTTGGAAGTTTAATTTATAGTTTTAAAAAACGCAGAACTGATAAACTAACTAGTATTATTCTATACGTACCACTAATTGTTTTTACCTTCATCTAGATTTTTGATTATTATTATTATTCCAGATATAGTTTTTCATTTTTCTATACAAAACAGGGGACACTACCTGTTGCAGTATCATTTCGTACACATTATTGCCGTCGGCAGTGCATGACGGAGCATAGTGTCGAGATTGAATACTAAACCTATATACATTTATTGTCAAGTTAAATCTAGACCTCAATTGTGATGAAAAAATATTCAGTCAGCATGAATGGAATAAACTGGTATTTTGCAATGCGTGGAAAAAAGTATAATGACTTCGTATTCCCATTATATTTTTTTAGATACATGTTCAGTATTTTTTTGGAAAATTCTTATTTTGAAATTTCTATTGTCGAAAATGCAGCAAACAATTTTACATATTATAATCCTGTTTAAATTTTGACATTCCTTGATGTTCAGTAACATTCTAATATAGTTTGCAATTCTTACATGCAAAATGTTATTCATACAAGTATTTTTACACATCAGTCACAAAATTCATAGTTTTTCACTATCTAACAAAGACATTAAAAAGTTGGTTCATCCATTTTTTAAAAGCAAAGTAACTTGATACTGACAGGTATTAACAAAATGTGGCGGTAAAGAAAGTTATTTCCTTATCATCTCCCTCCGTCCTCCCTCCGAAACAGGATGTTCCAGTTCGGGAGTTTGAACTTTTCTCATTTTTTCTTGTCAGGGTTTTCAGGTCAATAATAATGTCATTATTGTAGCCATCTCCCCTAAACTAAGGACTAACAAAAGAATAATGTGTGCCTAAACAGTAATATTCAAATAAACAAAACAATATACAATAAAAGTATAAGTAGAAGGTATAGTTTCAATACAAATGAAGCCCTATATTTCTCTAAAATATGAAAGTGATATAAGAAATTAAAATTCATTCTTTCTGAATCATAGGAATTATTTGCAGTAAGAATACACAAATAATTTTTCTCATATGACCTCTTAAGTACTAATTGTGACGTCATTAACTTGTGCATTTTCCCGTACTTTCTTAAAAAGTTGCAGAAAACATTAATTTTCAATGGAATTTTCTTTCAGAAAACGTACTCTGCCACCGTCGCCCGGAAAGATTTTGAGATATGTGATTTTTCATAGCTCTTTGCACAATATTTCCAAAAATTAGGGCGGGCGACGGTGGCAGACACTATTTTCTAAAGGAAAATTAGCAGAAAAACAACTGATTTTGAAGCTTTTCTGTATTAAACTTAAAAATGTACCAAATTAATGACGTCATATTTTAAGAAAGATTCTTCTTCATGCCATATTCTTTAATGATTTATCATATTCATCTACTCAACTATTGTTAAAGCTAATTTCATAACTTTTTAAGAACATTGAATTTTTAGGGCATAATAAAGCTCAAATTGTACCGTCTTCTTATTCTAATTTAAACTAATGGGATATAATTAAAGCATTTTTACAGGACTGGTTTGTGATTTGATTTCAATTCAAGCGGAAATGCACGGCATTCATTTTTCACTATTCATATTCTTCATCAGATTCTTCATCAGATGTCAGGAACTAGAATACTATAAAAAAGAGAGAAATATTATTAAATACAGTCATGCATATACCCTACCTTAAACCACGTCTTATTAAAATAATTGTATGTATAACCCCATATGCGACACTATGCAAAAATATTTCTGTTGATTAGAAATTTCACATCTTGAATGAAAAACAGTGTGATTGTCCATTAAAGCTGGCATAGTCCGCCATATTTCCCATTCTTCAACGCTCCCCCTAGAACCCGTATATAAGGAGCAGATCAGTAATCAGTGAATTGTATTTCTTTGTAGAGATTCCACGAGTGTATATCTTACACTGCGTGCTACTCAATCTTTATGAAATTATCAAATTTTACGTATTTTTTCCAAAACAGGACAAAAGTATCATGAAAAATACAGGTCAGTACATTATTTACAAACAGAAAATGCACAAAAAACAACAACAATAAATTAACGCAAAAAATCTTAGACCACGAAAGGAGTACTACATTTCGGACACATATTCTGCCATTGTCCCCCACAAAGATTTGAGATATGTAATTTTACAAAGAAGTTTACATAATATATCCACAAAAAAAAAATGAAATCGGCGACGGTGACAGACACTATTTTCCAAAGGAAATTATGCACAGAAATTAGTCATTCCGAGGCTTTTCTGCATTAAGCTTAGAAGTGTACCCAATTAATGAAGTCGTATTTCCAGAACAATTATCCTTCATGTTATATTCTTTAATGAATAATCATATTTATCTATTCAACTCTTAAAAATACCCTTTTTCTGTATAAGTAATACATGTAGTAACCGATACAAAACCAAAAAAAAAAAAAAATCAAATAGAGCTTCTTCAAGGAAAATCTAGTATAAATATATGAACTAAATTGTATAAAATCCTGTTTGAAGGAAGTAATATACGTGTATTATTATTGATAAAACAACTTTCCCGCTGGTATTTCAATACAGCCTAAAGAAATAAAGAGAAAAAATTATTCAAGTGACTGCCAAACTGGACGATTTTTTGAAGACTATTGATCCTATCTTAAAAAAAGAACCCAGTGGTTATTTTCGGCGTTAACAATTCACATCCCACCATCCCTTTGTTTCGATACTTACTGTTAAGTAATAGCAAGATCATATGAAGAGAAATCTTTGTCATGAAGAATGGGCAGAGCGAAGCGGAGCCCATTCTTCATGACGAAGATTTCTCTTTATATGATCTTACTGACTTAGAACAGAACCTCAGCCAATCAAATGAATGGATTAAAAATAAACTCCTCCCACGGCTGTGTCACATATAAGGTTCAACTTGACCGCTCGTTGTACATATCGAACACGCATCAATATCGAACACATGCGGTTTCATAATGTACTTCTAACCCATTCAGGTTAGCACGGGATTATATGAAATAGGTTGATTTACTGGGGAAACGGTATGGTAAAGATATTAAAGTTACTAAACTAATGAATACCCATGTAACAAGAATCGTAATATCTATATTTCTGAAAAATGATTGTGTTAAGATGACAAGGCCTTGGTCAGCAGGAATGGGTATCGCTGTCTAATATCAAATAAAAAAATTATGAAAATTGAGATTAAATCTGTCTTCAAAGACAAGGTTCATCTCTGATAATTATACATGACTATGGTTGTATTTTCTGTCTGAACCGAATTGTGAAAAAAAAATATTCAAAAAGGCGACAAAAGATTACAGTAGGAAAAAAGTGTAGCAAGGCCTAGAAAGTTTAAATATCATTGTAAACAGCACGTGAGTTTAGAATAGTTTCTTTTTGTGTGCTGAACAAAGACCAATGAAGACACACCCATATAACTGTCAAGTGAACCAATCAGACACCGCTGAATTTTTCAGAAATAGAAGAAATCTTCTCCACGAAGAATCAATTCTTCGCGAGAAATGGAAGCATTTGATTGGCTGAATAAGTAGTTTATGTTCTAAGTTCTATAGTGATATGCCCCGTGGGGATCCGGGTTAGAATAGGTCCTCAGTACCCCCTTGCTTGTCGTAAAAGGCCACTAAATTGGGCAGTCCTTCGGATGAGACCGTATAAACCGAGGCCCCGTGATAAAGATCCCTCCATGCTCAATGGCCCTGAGTGCCGAGCATAGGCCTAAATTTGCAGCCCTTCACCGGCAATGGTGACGTCTCCATATCAGTGAAATATTCTGGAGAGGGACGTTAAACAGTATACAATTAATCAATCAATCAATCTATCTATCTATAGTGATATAACTAAAGTCTACCATCATAGTAAACTATACATGTACATAATGTTATTAAACAATAGACTATTCTGTTCTCTATTTTTTATCGCTTAAGTGGTTCAAAGCACGTCTTTGATCAAAAACAATTATGTATTAACCACATAATCTAGTACAGTCTACTAGTATTGTCGAGAGAAAAATCTAGTAAAATATTGTTTCAGTATAATTAGTAATGAAATAATTTATTATTTTGTGAGCACGATTGATTAAAACGGTCCTAAGACATTTAAATTCTACTCATTTAGTCTAGAAATAAAATATACAAAACATATGAGACAAAAAGATGTTTATATTAAAAATATCTATTTCCTATATGAGTAGAAGTGATAATACAAACAACAAAATCAAAGAGGGCTTCCATAAGGAAAGTATGAAATCAACTGCATTGTATAATCTGGTTTAAAAGAAATCAAATACTATAATTGATAAAATAACTTACCAGTTCACTTTCCAATACACCAAAAAATAAAAAAAATTAAAAGAACTACACTTTAATTTAATGGTATGCCCAACCTAGTATTTTATAAGACGGTTTATCTAAGCCCACACACATATCCTCAGCGTAAACTATCCACGCCATACCATCTCCTTGTATTGACTTCTAACTGTTAAGTTCTATGATGACTTTGTTAATAAATCGGTACCCAGCTTATGTATAAGTCACATTATCCAACGATCGGGTATACGATGAGAAACCGATTCGTTTTTTGATGAAAATGGCGTGGTTGCCGGCTGGACACCACTAGTGATCGGACGGTGACTGAGTCTTTTTTTGCAAATCGGTGGGGTCATCGGTAGGAAATAATTCGTAGTTAAAATTCAGCGATGTCTAAAACGATGCCTCACATCGCTCCTCATCGGCAACCTATCATTAACACATCTTTCAAGGATCGGCCGATGTATGGCCGAGCATCGTCCAATATCCGTTGAATCTGAGGCCATCGGGGAGCTTAATGGTGTTCAACAGATAACGACCGATCATCGGTCGATGTTCGACCGAACATTGGCCTGTAGTCGACCAATGTACGAACGATGTTCACCAATGTATGAGCGATGTAATATACATCGGCCAATTATCCTTTGTACTTTGTAAGTACGGCCGGCAACCACGCCATTTTTCTCATAAAACGCATTGGTTGCCCATCGTATGCACATCGCTGGATAATGTGACTGATACTTTTAGGATTACTAGGCCGATGTGGACCGATGTTGGGGCATCGTTAACACCACGGATTACTACCGATTACCACCGGTCTACGGCTACCGGCCGGGAAATGTGACCTAGGCATTTAGACATTAAAAAGGCGTAAACTGCTTAACAGCCCGGGAATCATGGCTCACAAAAAAATACTTATCGTAAGGAATTTATTCTTGTCGAAATCTACGATACTTTCATCGCATAAGGAGCTTTCATTATAAAATAATTGTATAGTTGATAAAACGGTCAGAAGAAATTTTCATTTTGGCCCTTGGTCTCTCAATTATTTTGAATAAATAACAAATCAGTACTTTAACAAGAGAAGGATAAAAATTCAAATTCACATTTTAACAGTATACCAGGGTAATTTAAGGATAATGAATTTCAAATCAAAACAATAATGATACCGGTATATTGCATTTAATTAAAGTCAAAAATGTATAAAAGTAATTGGAGAAAAATAGTAAATTTCACACGGCGATGTTCATATGGAATTATCGTTGGAAATAAACAATGTACTATAACAACTTAGATAATTTGCTTGGTGATTTTGAGAAAAATTCATTATTACTTGTTATAATCATTGATTACTTTTTTCACGAGAGAAAATAAAATAAAAATACTATAATTTGAAACTCACAGTCAAAATACTTTGATTTACTATAGTAAAAACGAATTAAAAAGAATGAATGATTCAGAGAGCTCAGAAAGGTAACATTGATAATGCAGTACAATTGTTTTAAACATAACTTCATTTTCGTCTTTTATAAATGATATTATTTAACAATTTAATATTTTTGCGGATCACCTTTTGCAAAAATGTACCCTCCTTATTGAATGAACTAAAACGGTGCATTTTTCAAATACAAGATCGCTTAATCTAGACATTGATATACGAGGGTTGTTCCAAAATTTTGTAGACTGAGCTCATATCTTTTAAAGAAATAAGTGTATCTTTATGATTTTTTCAGGGTGGATAAAGCGTGTGTTCAGCAGACAAATTACGAAGTTTTATCATGTTTACTTGAAAAACAATTGAGCAATAACATTTAAAGCCAGAATTAGATAGATAACATGATCAGTACGTACTGGTCCTTGCCGACAATGCAGGTAACAACATTCTCTTCGTTTGTAAAGCTCATTAAATAAATTGTATTTTAGGACTTGGATTTTATTCTACAAGTGGTAATCCTACTTATACTCAAACTTCCCTTTCTAAGGAAGAAATTCTCATAATCATATGTCAGTTTTAAATATTTTTAATATTCCACAGAACCAAAATGAATTTGATCTACCCTACATACGAGGGTTGTCAAAAAAGTTCGTGGACAATGACGTTTTTGTCAAAATAAATGGTTCCAAATGCATCTATTGTATATCAAAATATTCCTTATGAAAAACCAAGTCAGATTGGTTTAATTTTTATTTAGGAAACTTAATAATTTTGTAAAAATCGGTGTCTTTAAAGATAGCAGATTGTGCGCACGGACCAGTCTGGCGTTGAGCTAATTTCATTATAACGTCAAACATTTGGATTTTGACTTAACACATGTTCATAGACAAACACTTCATTTCTTTTTTAAGGCGCAACATACTTCCGTGTGCTACCAATTATCTTTAAATAAAGATTATAGTTTATTTAATTTTTAAAATTCAAAACGATGCACAAGTATTTAAAAGTGTCATCTAAATAATCACTTTGTTTACATAAACTGCACAGCCCAGTCCGACGCCGTGCTAGACGTCATGAATAGAAATCTCCATTTTCAGTAAATCACATGTGTTTTTAAATCTTTTTAGTGTCTTTGAATTTGTACACACCGTTGAAAAATCATATATACCAATCTGAAATTGATACATAAAATATATTTCAATAATTTTGAGTTGTTTTAACAATTTTGTCTTCAACCGTATAAAAACTAATTTTTTGATCGGAGGCTGTCCCGTGCAGACGGCTGACGTCGATTTTTTTTTTCGAGTTTTGACACATATTTGTTAGGGTTTCTGTTTAGTATTTGTACTGTCTATATAGTAAGCGATACTTAAGATATCATAAAATAGTTATAGCCTCTTTATTTGTGTAACGTAAATTTTTTTTTATTAATTTTTGACTTGTCTTATTTAAAAAATAATCATTTTAATCCGTGCACTTTATATCAGAGTTTGTGTCAATTTAACCTTGGTCCGTGCGCACTATCCGCGAAATATAAAGAACCCGATTTTTACAAAAATATTACGTTACATCAATCAAAATCAAATCATACTGATTTGTTTTATCATAACAAATATTTTGATATGCAAAATATTTATATAGAACCATTTATTTTCACAAAAACGTCATTGTCCACGAACTTTTTGGACAACCCTCGTATATTGAATTCCGAAATTCCAGTAAATGTTCAACCAAGCCTCTTTCATTACTCCTCACTAAAATATTGACACTTGTGAAGAAAAACTTCAAGAGTAATGTGAAACAATATTCAAGAATTGGTGCGAATCAGATGTGGATATTCAAAAATTCCAAAGAACTTTTGGACAATTTGAAATCACAAGGTTTTACCAAAATCAACAGCTTAAACACTTTATGACTTTTCAACTTTGTACACAACCATTTCCCACGATACATTAAAGTCAGTCCAGGCTTTTTGATATCATTGACAATTGCTTTTCTAATAAAAATGGAACTCGTAAATTTATTTATCTGGTCATTGGTCATTTGCAAAATTATTTTGTTAAAACACATTCTGATTGCACACACAAGTACTCTGAAGTTGACATCAAAGAGATGCTTGAGTTTCTGATTGACAATATCTATATGGTTTTTGGAGACCAGGTATGCCAACAATCTACTGGAATTACCATGAGTACCGATTGCGGTCCGTTATTAGCAGATTTATTTTTATATTCATATGAAGCAGAATTTGTGCAAAATGGAGAGAACGATCGTAGGCATTTATGCCTGCTGTTCAATCCATTTCTTAATGAATAAGATATATTTCAAACTAATTTGTGCAAAATCTTATGCTTGAAAAAAAGCACTTGCTGTGGCCTTCAACTCCTCATTTAGATATATCGACGACGTATTGTCCATTAACAATTGTAATTTCCATTCCTAGGTCGATACGATATATCCTTATAAGCTTGAGATAAAAGATACCACAGTGTCTGACACATCTGTTTCATACTTGGATATCTTACTTGAAAAAGACGTTAATGGCAATCTAACAACCAAGGTATATGATAAACGCGATGACTTTAAACTTTTCTATTGTCAACTTCCCTTACTTATGCACCAATATACCTTCATCACCTGCATACAGAGTAAATATATCTCAGTTGATTCGATACGCAAGACCCAGCTCTAGGTATGAACAATTTCTAAAACGAGATAAATTAATGACAAGCAAGTTGATTAAACAGGAATATCAGCAGACTCGTTTAATGTTATCATTTCGTAAGTTTTACGGTCGGTACAATGACCTTGTCAGCAAATACAATTTATCATTGAGTCAAATGCTGACTGACGTTTTTAATACTTATTGTTAGTCAATTATTTATACACTGAATTGACAAGGGATTTTCCCATTTAGTGTGACCAGTCAGCAGAGGATGCTCACTCCCCCATGGCACCTGATCCCACCTCTGTTGTTTCGGAGGTCCCTGTTTGCTCTGTTCCTTTTTTGTATTGTTTTATGGACTTTGATATTGAATACTGTTCGTTATCTCCATATTCATCGTTCTCTAACACCCGGAGCAATCTGAAACGTCAAAAAAATACAAATGTCAACGGTTCAAATTTTTGGAGAAAATATTTCAAGTACCAGAATCAAATTCTTAAATTAAACGAAACGGTTATATACTGAAAGGAAAAAGAAACGCAGGGTAGCATAATATTTGAAAAATATGACCGCATGACCAAAAATTACGAAAATTGGTCAGATGAGAAATTTAGTTACTATGCACCAAAATTAGTTTTCAGAATTACTCAACCGTAAAATTTATCACGTCACATGGGGAAAACGCTAAAAAGGCCAAAAACACGTGCAATTTGATGACGACGAGTTTGTCAACAAATCTTGTTGCACCATTTGATGCACCTTAGGTATACACATTGTTTTTCAATATGTAGAGACGATATGAATTTCTTGCAATCTTGGTATAGTTTACGGAAGTTCAATGGGGTCTGGTTTTCGAATTTCCCCATTAATGAAAAAGGCAAAGACTGTTAACTAAGCAGTTTCTTGTAAAATTTCCACCATAAAACTTGTTACCCGTTGTCAGAGGGGGCATTGATTGGTTTTCAGTCAACCCTGACGATGACGTTAATACAAGCCAGGGTCATGTTACGAAGGGATTATCCGTCCTGTCACCTCTTTAATCGCCACCTTGCTACCCCAAAACCGCCTTTTATACAGTAGACTATCGTAATCAATACATTCACACAAAAAATGAAAGAAAACAATTTCGCAATTTGATTTTTTGAACCGGTCAACTTACTGTTGTGTTTCTCTCACTGGCGCATGTGCGTGTCGCATGACTAATTTTTTGCGTTGTTTACAATGCCCAATATAACCAGGGATTGAAAGATAAACACTCTCATTAATTCCATGCAAAGGATAAATAAGGCTCATGACATATGCGAGGGAGAGTCATTAAAGATAATGACGTTTTTGATTTTCACTTTTGGGGGTATCGTCATGTGAGCTTCAATAATTTATTAATTATTAAACAAAATCAAATAGGATTTTGGTTATATCTTCTTTAATGACGATTTTAAAAGTTAGATTGGAATATTGAAAAACATTAAAAGAGAAATAATTTAAATCACCTCAAAAGTTTACCCTGCGTTTCTTTGTCCTCTCAGTATAGTAATAAATGTGAAATATCGCCTGTGCTAACGTAACCGCCATTTTTCAAAAGTCGGATTTCAACCCCAACCAAACGTTATAAAATTCATATTGATAAAAGCATAGACACCAAAATTTGAGTTAATAAAACACTTTTAAGAATTTTCATTTCCATAAAAATAAAATAAGGGATAGTAATTACTTTTCCTTAGGATTTTAAATATACCAAATTTTAACTGCAAGATTTGGGTATTGCGCCGCCTTCCTACACCAAACAATGAAATGTGTCTTTAAAAGTGGAAAAATTCGTTTAGTTAATCCATATTTGTCCATAAATTTATTAGATAGTGTTGGTTTAATCTATATACGTAGTTTCATTAATGTATGGCAAAGGGTTCCTAGAAAACGACGCTTCTCTACGGAATTTTGTGACAACCCTCGTATATATTGGAAATACTATAAAGGACAATGAAAAAAATAATCTTGTTCACTACTAACAGAGCTACCTCCATTTTAACACTTTGGTACTAGATACCTTCGTGAATATGCAATTCACAGCAGAATCTTTAAAAAAAATTGTTTCGTTTAGGCATTTCCCAACCATAATTATTTTTTTTAGCTCGGTGCCCGAAGACGATCATTATCGTTGCCAGACTCCCCCTTTTTTGGTTTTTTACATATAAGTCATCTTTAATAACCAGTTATAGCCGTTCCGATTTAATACAAAATGTCGAAAAAATTCGGCTCTTGAATATCACATAGATAGCGAGAGTTGGAATAGCATTTATTAAGCAATACAACTGTGAAACATTTAAAATAAAAAACAATGTGCAAAACCTGTAATGTAACCGTTCCAAAACGTAGTATGCTCCGTAAAACATGTTTTAACTGAATATTAATTTTGCATATTTTTTCCGAATTATCTTAATCAAAAAAACTCTGCATATTAATAGGAAAAAGGCATTGTTCATTAAGGTCGATTCCGAAACTGTACACTAAACTTCAATAACCATTTTAACTGTATAAGAATGGATTAATGGTTCTTTTACACACATTTTCTGTCGGAGGCGATATAAACTACTATCATGTTATTTTCATATTCTATATATTAGGATCTGTATTCGGCAAATAACAAATTCCATATCCTTTACATTTATATTTAAAAAAAAAACAAGTTTTAGCGAAAATATGTATGTTTGTTATGACCCAAAATTAATATAAAATATAGGAAAGTAATTAATGTATGTTAAAGATCAACAATCAACATCAAATGACTTAGATCTAGAAAAGCTTCAGAATATGCTGAAATAATCTGTTAAAACTTGTGAGGTCCTTTTTTAAGATAAGAATACATAATACAAATTAAAATTGATAATGAGTTCATAAAAGTCAAATTTCTTCTACAATTCTTACCGTGAACATGCGTAAAGCTCTAACACCATGGTCTTCTGCGAGTGCGTGGAGGGGGCAGTTTTTCCCGTAGTAATTAAGCAAATCATCCTCTATAATAAAAGTGTTGTCTAGCTCTTTCCCAAACTCTGTAGGTGTACAGCTATATCCAACTTGATAATGAAGGTCACAGTTAAATGTATTTGTCATAGAAGACAGCATCTTCTTTACTTCTCTTGTAACTTTATTAAAGGCAATCCGTATTGATTCAATGTGTTTCTGATCGTCATTATACAATAACAACTGTATATAACTCTCACTTACTCCTAAAAGTACAACGTGTTCATGATGATAAAACAAAGCAGTGTCAATATATATACATTTCCTTCCGTCCATCAATGGTTTCCACCCTTGTTTCAGACAAAGTACAATCAGTCTATAGAAGAGAAAAACAGGCAGAACCGGGAATCTGATGTACAGAGTCGGTGAATTATTTGGATGTGAGTAAATCTTTGATTTTACATGCGGTGGAACTTTCATTCTATTCATGCTTGGAATAAAACATATATCAGATTTTTCTTCTATGGCCATGAGACCCAATCGTTCCATGTATTTCATCATATCATCCTTGTATTCCACTGCAGTTTGGTTTTTTGTAGCTGTCCAGATTGATTTAAGGAACGTGCCTGAGATCTCTCCTGTTGTTGTAAATGTATCAAGCGCCTCTCTAGTGGGAGCTGCATCTATGACTTTGTTGAAACTGGCTTGTTTTGAATCGGTCATTACATATTTAAATGAATTGACAAACCACTGAATATCCAGGATAACTATTTCAGGACTATTTCTCACTGGTTCTTCTATTGCAAAATATAGAATCACACCAATATCATGATAAAACCGTAATAAGTCTTTGAATTCCTGTGTGCTTAAAGGAAGCAATTTATCAAATGATTCCTTTAATTTGTCCAGATTCTGAAGTTTTTTCTCTTTTTTTTCTGAAATGAATTTTTCAAATATAGCCCAATCCAGGGGTATATCTTCTCCCCACTGTTTTTGTGATATTACTACGTCTACAATGCTTCTTCCTAATTCATATAGACTTTTAATACATTCTCCATCATGCTTTTTGAGACTTAATGTAAAGTATCTATCGCTAGACAAGTGTGTTTTAATCGTCGAAGACACAGGGAACGTCTTGATAAGTTCTTGGTAATATTCCGTCTTTTCCTTGAAAATGTTATTTCATATATGAATCGTTGTGTTGCTCGTAAATTTCAAATAATTTTAAATATGATAAAAATGTCATGGATGATTTATAAATGTGATTAAGAAACGGCTAGGGACATACCTGCTCCGATTTCTCTTCTGCATGAGTAGCTACAAGAATAACAGGGGCCTTACTTCCACAGTAACAGTTTACAGATTTCAACCAAAACAAAAGATAATCTGCAAGAAAATGTTTAAACCAAAACTTTGTATATATAACTCAACAATATCAGAGTGTACTCTTATTATTATTCATTGTTTGTAATTATAACATTATTTTGATCATTAAATGACGAATTTTTAATTCAGTTTTGTTTGTTTTTTATGACATTTTTTTTTAAATTCCCCTTTCAGACTTCATGTATTTATTTTATTTTATTATTTTATATTGGCTGTCTAAATTTTCAAGTGTGATTTCCAGCATCAGTCTGTATTGGGCACAAAAGAAAATTGTTTTCCGGGTATTGCATTTAAAAAATATTAAAAATTATATAGAAACAAGACAAGAAGTTAGTGTAATCGTTGTAAGATTGTATATATTGAATGTGTACTTAACGAGTCAGCTTTAAGTCGAATGCACATGCATGTTACGTTAATAGGTTTAGAAATGTGCTTTAAAGACAAAACAATAGGGGGAAACCGTGAAATGACTTTTAAAATGTCACTATTTTCGGCTTTGTAAGCAATTTATGACGCTAAAGAATGACGCATGACTCAGATCCGTATTTAAATGTCTTTTCAATTTTTGCCCAAAACTTTTGAAATAAATAGAAAAAAACCACATAAGAGCAATTTAAACATTGTTAATTATATCGAACTTAATTAATTTTCGAAGATATATATATATATATATTTACATTTGCAAATGTTTTCATTTATATTACACTACTGAAGGCAAGCGTTTTTATAACTGTTAATACAGGTATGGGGTCAAGAGGTCATAGATGTGCGTTTGGATAAAAGTTCGACGTAATTTCTCTGTGACGTCATAAAGGGTGGATTACATACATGCCGTTGGGTTTGAAAAATTAACGCATTTCACACGTTAAAAGTAACAATCAGGCAAATATAAAGTATGAATAAGTCACAAATGTAAACATAAGTGATAAGGTATCATTTTTTGAGTTTTATTGGGATGTAAAACGGGTTGGCACATGATCAAATCTTCCATAAAGCCCTTCGGGCTTTATGGGATTTGATCACGTGACCAACCCGTTTTACATCTCAATAAAACTCAAAAAATGATACCTTATTATATATATATATATATATATATATATATATATATATATATATATATATATATATATATATATATATATCAGAAGTCCATGAATTCACAGTGGTCGGTATAGTTGTATAGTAAAAGTAATTAAAAAGAAAACACGAAGACAACAAAGTAAAGCATTAGCGCTTTCATTTAAAAATCTTCAGATGCTTTACAATTTTACAATCAAGTTTTTAAACTGTCACATAGTAACGCCTACTATGACGTCATAATTAGCGGAACGTAATACAGTCTCTATGACCTAATTCTCCCAGCAGTTATTACGGGAAAGTCAAACAATGCTATTTAGCTTTGCTTTTAAAGTAGTAATAAAGTGTTTTTCTTTTTCTCTTCGTTGGATTTGGTTTCCAGACATCTTATAGAACGGGAAAACGGTAAATTGTCTTTTCCCGCATATATCTAAATGTTCACTAAGTTTAATTTGTCTGTATTGCGGATTATTAATATGCTGTTTGTGGACTCTTATCCGAGCTCTCAGTGTAGTGCTAGTTTCTCCGATGTAAAATTCGTTACAACCCGGGCATGTTACGACATAAATTAGGTTCTTAGTTTCACAGGACATGTCAGCATTTACAGTGAAATTTCGGCCCCGGAAGTCGTAGCTGGTTCCCTCCAAAATATAGTCGCAGGTACCGCATCTCGGGTCATTGCATTCTGTTACGGAATAATTCTTTTCCTTGAAACTGGATGTGCACAGAATTCTTTTTAAATTTTTAGCCTGCCATTTGCTATTTATAAATTGAACATTTTGGTAAATTGCGTTTGTGTTATCATCCTCATCTAGTATCAGGTTTAATTGTTTTACCACTGGTGTTAGGTTTTGGTTTCGTGGATTGTGGGTATGAACAAAAGGTATAATTTGTTTTTCCTTCCGATTGTCACGTGTCGTAAGTAGTTGTGTTCTTTCATAAGACTTAGCCTTTTTTATTCCATCATCCACTAGTCGTATAGGGTATTTACGTTTCACAAGAAAAGATTTTAATTCCTCTAGTCGTAAATCCCTTGTGCTTTCCTCACTTACTATGGTGCAAACTCTTCTTGCCAGATTATATGGTATCGCTCTCTTAGTATGGTTTGGATGACATGAGCCGAAGTGTAAATACTGATGTGTATCGCTGGCTTTATAGTATATATCAGTAGTTATCCTTGTGTTTTTTTTTCTCCACTAACACATCAAGAAATGGTAACACATCAAGAACTTGATTGTAAAATTGTAAAGCATCTGAAGATTTTTAAATGAAAGCGCTAATGCTTTACTTTGTTGTCTTCTTGTTTTCTTTTTAATTATTTTTACTATACAACTATACCGACCACTGTGAATTCATGGACTTCTGATATATTTTACCAGTGATCGTGATGGAAACACGAAGTACTTTTCACAAAGATCATGAAAAGGATACTTTTCTTGCGGAACTTGTGAGTAATATTAATGTATTCATTAGCAAAACGGATACAACAAATCGTCTTTTAGAAGAGTTCTGCAGACAAAATCAACATATTCCTAGAGGAGTTGGAATACAGGATGAGGAGGAGACGAATTTAAAATCTGCGTTTGTTAACAACGAAGAGGAGATGGGTCAGTTTCAATCCCCAACTCAAATATTACAGCGGGAAATCAATGAATTAGCCCTACGAAAGGAAGCGATTAGAGTTAAACAGAAAATTAAATCCATTTGGAATCGGACACTCAACATACGGAAGCAAATGTTTTGGAAACAAATCAGCAATGCTAATCACGCTGAACAATATGAAAAATGGTTAGACAGAGAGACGCCGATATTGCCTAGGAAATTCAGAATAAAGCCAATTCGTGGAGAACCTGAGGAACAAACAGCAATTAGGATAGAAGTAGCGAAACAACGGATACACGGAGAAATTCAACTACTTCGACTAAGGTCAAACAATAGCTACAAGAAAGTAGCTGACTTCGACTCCCAAATGGAAATAGAGTTGACAAAAAGGGCCTCCGGCAAAGTCTTAGAAATGCTTCAAGGTATGTGGTTATCTGACTGTGAGAATGAAGAGCACAAATCCGTCAACAGGTGGCGTTATGCAGAAGCATGGCTACTTGACTATGAACAAACTACGGCAAAAAACCAGCTAAGGAGAAGAAACCACCAAAACAACCTCCCTCTGGAAAAAATACAATCCCATCGTCAAAATCTAAGACATATGCAGCAGCTGTAAAATCTACTGGACCAAATATGCCAGTTAACACTCAAAATCCTCAGCTCCCTAATCGACCATTAAAGAAAATAAACAACGGAAAAAAGACAAATAACTTTGCATTCCGTAAAAACAAAAATAAATATGGGAAGCCACACTATCCGAGAAAACACAATGTAGGAGATACCCAAAACCCTAACTACGGAGGAAACACCGGTATTAGTACAAACGATTACTACAGGAATGATCGTGTTACATATATAGGGAAAGGTGCACAGAATCATTTTTTAGAGGAAGGCAAGCCGAACCAGGGACAGAAATACAAACCCAAATGGTAAATACTCAAAGTATTGAAAGTGAGAAAACATCTAAATCGACTGAAGAAAACAACCAAATAGACCCTAAAATATTAAATTTATCCAGCAGAGAACTGACAAAACTGAGATAAAATTATTGCTGAAAGGGTTAAAATATACGCCAACACCACAGGTTAATAATCAGGAATTAAAAACAGATGTCAAAGCATACACTAGACGTTTGAGATTGTCTGAATATTTCCATATCGAGGACGAGGACATATCAGACCGAGAAGAAAGTGATCTTGTTAGAAATAAATCATCATTTAATCCGAAAAAAGGTAGGAATCGGACACTTGATGCTGTCTGTGAAACACTTGAAAATATTTCTTTACCTGTGAATTTTCATCACATAAAGGCAAATCTTTCTAAAGAGGAAGAAAAGGCACTGAGAAATCTTTCAACGGATCCAAATATTGTGATCAAAGAGGCCGACAAAGGGGGCGCAGTTGTTATTATGAACAACCATTTTTACAAGAGTAAAATTATGGACATGTTGCAGGATAACAACTTTTACAAACACATTCATGGAAATGATGATAGAAAAACCATGAAGAAAATAAAAAGTCTAATTCATGGACCCCTATGCCCAGACGTAACAGAAAAAGAGAAGGACTATCTAATTAATTTCGACTTCCGAGAAAGCCAATTTTATGGACTTCCTAAAGTGCATAAATCCGCTAATTATGACGTCATAGTAGGCGTTACTATGTGACAGTTTAAAAACTTGATTGTAAAATTGTAAAGCATCTGAAGATTTTTAAATGAAAGCGCTAATGCTTTACTTTGTTGTCTTCGTGTTTTCTTTTTAATTATTTTTACTATATATATATATATATATATATATATATATATATATATATATATATATATATATATATATATATATATATATATATATATATATGTATATATATATATATACCGCAGTTTGGTAGATCTAGAGGTATTGGGCATTGATAAATAAATCTTGTAATAATTCCTTCGACCACACGGATGGTCAACATTTTTGAAACGTATTGAATGTGACCAAAAAAAAAAAATAATAATAATAATAAAGAAATCGCTAAAGCAAAAATAATAAGATAAGGAAAAATATTGGCATATTTCTCACAAATTTCTAATACTATATAAAATTAGTCCTTTGATGAGGTCGATCCATAGATATATCGACTTCACAGAAAAGCATATTGACCGAGCATGAAATGCGAGGTCAATATGCTTTTCTGTGAAGTTGACATATCTATGGATTGACCAAATTAAAGGGCTACATTTGTTAAATTATTTTTTACTGAGGTTGATAAAAAACGATTTTAGAAAATAAGAACAAACCACAAGTTTTCTCTCTTAAACACTTAGAGACTAGAAATCAAATAAATTTAACAGTTTAATATAAATGTGTTTCCTTTACATCTTTTGAGTAATTTAGAGGATTTACTAATTGAAAATACTATAAATGTATATCTTTTGATTATGTTTTGTAACAATTTTGACAAAGATATTCGAAATGTCCTAATATTAAGTAGATATTAGGCCGTGGTTACGTCTTATCAGTTGCAGAATATTACAAATTTAAGGGGGCCGACTATAGTTTCCATTGTGCAATATTTTGTGCATCGTAGTAAAATGAAGCGTATTTACTGTTTTAATGCAATCTTTTTCGCTTGATTATCAAAATTAAACAAAATTAAGAAATTATAAATATAAAAATGTAATTACAATTTGATATAAATGATTTTGCAATTGATAGGTAGATTGACGTCGTTGCAGTGTGTTTTTGACGTTATGATAATCTGTAGCTCTTAATGAAAGAGGTAATAAAAATATTGTTAAAGAAAAAGTAATAAACATACGCTCTTGAAATTTAAAACATAGAAATTTGAAAATATCTCCAATATTTTTATTATGTTTTCATGTGAATCCATCATGTACGTCATATTTTGTAATACTCTATAAAAATAGTAAAATTTGCTAATTTTTTTGCATTTTGAGATGCCCCCTCTGGTAACAAGACGGTAGAATTTTGTGTTTCTTACATATATTGTATAATATAGTATTACTCATCAAATATTATAGTTTGAACAAAATGTCTATTGTAGTATTTGTATAATTTGCTTTAAAGTGCTAAAAATTGGCATTTCCCTACATAATCCTATAGCAAATTTACCTGTATTTTGAGATGGTCCCTCAAAAATACCTGAACAGTAGGTTGTTGTTATAAAATGACATATTTATGGAGATTCCTCTTACCCTTGTGGCTCCATTTTGAGAACATTGTGTCCTTCTGATCGCAGAGTTCTTCATCTATGACTTCTTCCAAGGTCTTGGACATGTCAACTACCAGAATGTAAAATGCTCGTTTGCTGAGGTAGATCTGATGGCAGGCGTAATACATGCACTGTCCTCCAAAATCCAGGATACTTAGAAGCCTTTTCTCTTCTACCTTTTCTGCATCATCAATCGGAATATTTTCTTTTATATGGATTGCAGGCTCGCATTTACGCACAGCAACTTAAAATTGAAACAGCTTAGTTTAATATCAGTTGCAATATACAGTGTTTTCATGTTGATATAATTTTACAAAACAAAAAAAAAAAAAAAAAAAAAAAAAAAAAATGGAAGTGCAGATACATGTACCTTTACCAAGAGTTAAGTAATTGTGATTTTTTCGAAAAATTTTTTTTATCAAATATCTGATGTTTTGAAAAGTAAATTTAGCTTCTTGCGTTTCAGTATTTATCGCATGATTTTATTTAGTTTTTTGTTTATTGATCTTGAAAAGTTTGTACGAAAAAATATTAAAGATATTTAAATATCAAGATACATGTTTCTCTCTCTCTCTCTCTCTCTCTCTCTCTCTCTCTCTCTCTCTCTCTCTCTCTCTCTCTCTCTCTCTCTCTCTCTCGATAACTCATTTGACATGCATGTTTTTCACAGATTTTTAACCTTCTAGTTTTCCTTCGTTTTCCAGTACTTCAAAAATATCATTGTGTACATCTAGTCCCACAGTAGACTTGATTTTCTGTATGTCTTCCAGTGATTTTCCTTGCAGTCTTTCTAATAAAGTTGTTTTTCCAGCACCCGCACAACCAACTATCATTGCCCGTGCTCTATATATTGGTGTTTTTCCCTTATCCAAGTACTCTAAGTATCGACTTCGGGCATCTAAATCCCATTGCAAGACTTCCTCAGGGATTTTCACTGAAAAAGAAAACAATTTCTTAGGAGGTTAACTCTAAGTAACTGGCTATCGATCCATTTTCAAATGTCATTAATTTCCCCATGTTGTGCATCCTTCTCAACAGTATTAAGGAAGCTAGTTAAACAGATGTATGTCTTTAAAGGGATACATAAGCACTTGCTAACGACAAACTGGAAACTATGTATCCCTCACATTTCAGAAAACTTGACGCGATAAAAGGATGAAAGAAACCACATTATTTTTTTCTTGTTTTAGTGACAACGTTTGTAACAAAAAGGTCTTTGTTTCTAGGGCTTGAAATTTCACATTTAACGGAATTTTAAAGGTACTTAGACACAGACTATCATTTTCTTTATAATATTACCACTTATATATTTTAATAGCATTTCACACAAAAATTAATTAAAAATCTTATTTCAAATAAAAGATATTAAACTTTCAAATTTGCACTTTCACAAATTCAATTTTATTCGTAATCCCGAGGAAAAGTGGGAATCTCGTTGTGTATAAATGAAAAATATTAATACTATAATACACAAAATTAAGAGTAGACATGTTCGAAAGCAAAACAAATACGCAATATATTGTCAGTCCGTGCAGATGTGGTAAGCAGACTGTGACATTTGAACGCACCCGGTGGAATATAAAAATCAACAATAACAGAACCCGTGCCTTGTTTACAAAAACGTGTACATAACACGAGTGTGCTTGATTTTCTAAACTCTGTACGGAACTCTTAGTTCGTAATGACGATACTTGTGAAGGAGTTTTGCTTTCTAGCATTTCTACTCTGAATAAAATTATTTTTCTAAATCAAAGTTTTAATATTTCTCGTAAATACACAACAAGCTTGCCTCTTTTCCTAATGATTAAGAATAAGGTTAAAATTTGTGAAAGTGCAATGATGTGTAAATCAAACCCGCCAAAAAAATTAAAGTTTTAATAACTTTAAATAAAATAAGATTTTTAATTAATTTTTGTGTGAAATGCAATTAAAATATATAAGTCGTAATATTATAAAGAAAATATTGACTTCAAATCTGTGTCCAAGTACCTTTAAAAGATCTTGGTTTTAATTCCACGTCTAGCAATCCAATCTTCTCAAAATTACCTTAACCTGAGGATTTTAAATCCTTCAATACATACCAAAGAGATTTTGTGGACTTTGAGATTGAATATAGGTCGTCATCCTCATATCCTCCATTATTTACAACCAATTGTTAAGAAAATGGTCTATTATTTTGATTTTGAAACATTGATTTGGGAATTTTGTTTATAAGGGCCTTGAATCGTATCTAGTATTTTATGCTTTGTACAGCTTGTTCTAAATGCAATAAATCCACATGGATATAAATACTGATTAATCCTTGTTATCATTCAATTCAGGTTATTATTCCTTTTCAGTAAGGAGATGTCTCTCATGCTGGACAATAACGTTTCTGACTTATCTCTGATATGCAGGGCTCCCGAAAAAAAAAATGGAAATAGTAAATTCCCATGAGAGTGAGAAATACTGGTAATTCTTGGAAAATTCTAATAGATAAATTTATAACCATGATAACTACATATTTATAATTTATTTTTGCTTGAGTGAAGACAAGTAGTACACCTTATTATCTGAGATATCAAATGATAACTGTTTCGGGTTTATAAGTAATTAATTTTAAATAGTCATAATGGGTATCACATACTCATATACCAGTCGAAGGTTTCAATTTTTTTATGATCAAGTCAAATGTATCCTATAAAGCAGAGTTGGGGCAAATTACATGAAAATTACATACTTTCAAAAACATTGATTATTTCGTCAATTACTTGCAATTAAAATAACATTGATTTAAACAAATGTAATTAATTATTCTCGATTACTTTGAAGAATGTGATTAAATACAAATCAATCACTAATTTATATTAATTAGAAAATCAAAGTAAATCAATATCATGAATCAATAATATTATTACTTTTGACTTCTAATGCCCTTAGCAGTGTGTTAATTCTGTAAAGACATTATAAGACCTTTAATTATTGAATAAACATAAGTTCACAAACCAAACAATCCTGTTATGCATCATTATAAAACACAGGAAGAATTAAGACCTTTCAGTTAAAACTGAAAGGCGACTTTCAGCAACTTTTCAGTGGCCATTCAGCTACTGAATGGTACATACATTTCAGTGACCTTTCAGTTGCCTTTCAGTCACATTTCAGATACCTTTCAGTCACCATTCAGCGGACATATTTCCGTCAACTTTCAGTGACCTTTCCATCAACTTTCAGTGACCTTTCCGTCGACTTTCAGTGACCTTTCTGTCGTCTTTCAGTGACCATTCCGTCGACTTTCAGTGACCTTTCTGTCGTCTTTCAGTGACCTTTCCGCCACCTTTCAGTGATATTTAAGTCTCAATTTAGCAATTTTTTCACTAGCGTATTATTTTATAATCAGATATTTTTCCTTAACAAGGAAGCAATATTTTGAATAAAGATTTATTATTCAATCTTAATTGTGTTTTTTTTACTTATCGTGATCAAATTCGGGTACCTTAAAGCCATATATTGCGTAACTGATAAAAAAAAAATTGAAAATACAAAATTAAGTAAATTCTGAACGCGTAGAACACATTGTTTCATCTAATAATACGATTTTATCTTCTGTTTAATGTGTTTAAAATATGTCTAAGTAATTATTATAATTTTATAAAATATGTGAGACTTATTCAAAATGATTTTTAATTTTCTAGTTACATTTAGAAAACAAAAAATCTTCAAGTGATAAAAAATGATGATCCGATAACCGATTCAAAATTTAAATAAATGCATAACATTCTATAGTGCTTATACGTGTATTTTCTCATCGAAATATATAGTTTTGATTGATGAGACAAAATTTATATTATTTAAACCATTTCTGGAAGATCGCAAGTATTACTGATCAATTTCGTTTCTTAATTATGTCATTGTCAAAACTGCAGGATATTTAGTTTTTGAAACTTGAGACATTATTTTAAATTCATTTTTAATTACAAGAATAAATAAATCGTTTATACATGCCTCTTGTAGAAAAAATATAGTAGATTTTAGCTTTCTAAATGACATTGATTTAATAAAATCATTCTACTAAGTTTCTAGATAGAGGATTTACAACGATCTTAAATCTTTGACACAGGAACAGGTGCCCGTCTCTGATAATTGTCATCATCCCGATAGGAGATGTGTAATTAATTAGTCTGTCCCCAAAATCCGCGCAACTAACATAGAATATACAAAAGATATACAAGATATATACACATCGCAGCTCCTCGATACAACAGGTGAACTGATTGTTCCATCGATTTCTATAAATTAATTGATTTTAAATCCTAACTTCTCAACAAGAAGTCGTAGCGTAATCGATAAGGTCGCGGACACCTAAGCAGGAGACCAGGGTTAGATTCTGGGCATGGGAGCAATTTTTTTTTCTTGTATTAATTTTTCTCCAATTTTTTTTTATTCGGAATTAGATGCATTTAATTCTATTATACCAGGAAAAAGTGAAATAATTTTTTTAGGTAAAAAAATAAGCCGAATATTCAATAAAAAGATTCAACTGAATGATCACGGAAAGGTCACTGAAATGTATGTGCCATTCAGTCGACTGAATGGTAACTGAATGATCACGGAAAGGTCACGGGAAAGGGTCTTTTCAGTGACCTTTCAGTGACCATTCAGTGGCCATTCAGCCACCATTCAGTCGACTGAATGGTGGATTTTCATCCTGTGAAACACGTTCTATTCAATCTCTAACTTGAAAAAAGATACTTGTATTTAAATTGTAAATGAAATGTGATTGAAAAAATACATCACAATTTTAAAAAAAATCATACATAAGTATTCTATTACTTTTAACTGAAGGCAAATTCAGTTACAAATATTTTCAACTACTTTGAAAAAAAATATTTTTAAATTCAGTACATTACAATTACTCATTTAAATTTTCCCATCACTGCTGTAAACGTTAAGGTCCATGCAATTAACATGACGATCCTTTTTCGGATATATTACGTGGCTCTGAAGGATTTGAGAAGACTGTTAAGTTTAAGTTAAATTATTTTCTTTTCACCTCAAGATGGTAATTATTTCCTTTAACGGGATCATAAAGCAGAGACAATTCATTGTTTAGTTGTTTAGTTTGGAAGCTCCCTCCATACGAAGATTCAAGAATTTGAAAGCAGTGAACCAAATCATTACAAGAAACCCCTCTTCCCCCTCTTTTTTGTGGGGGGTTGAGGGGGGGGGGGGGTGTTGCTTGTCAATTGTTTTGAAGCCCCCCCCCCTTTTTAAATGTAGATACGGACTTGAAGTGGTCTTGGTGTAATTCTATGCATGATTGCTTGGTACATCTACCTGTAAACCCCCTTTCAAAAATTGCTAGGTCCGCCTATGTTTAACCATCTACGTACCTTCCTTCGCTAATCATTGATTGGATTTATAGGCTGTCTTTTGTCTTAATACGAGGGTTGTTCGGATTATATTGAGACATTTACTTTTACTTCATAAATGACAGAGATAAATTAAACAGCTGTGCTAAATTTCTAAATTCTAGAATAAGTCGATAATATCTGAAATCATAACAATCATATGTCTATCCACCCGGAGCAGCATCAGTACGTCATTTTAACGTCATGAAGCCGGGATGTTTTTGCATGTGAACAGATCGGGAAGTATTTACTCTCCCTCCTTTGTTATTATCAATATCATACAAAATCAAACTGTCTATTTTCTAAACGATTCTAATATAAATGTGCTGTTGCTACAATTGTTTACGTTTTTCATGCATCATACAACTACAGGATAGTTTAGTATCATGCACTGTTGATTTTTGCAGGAGGGTCAACGTTTTTAATTCCGCAGCGGTAAAAATTGATGGTCGCCCAGAGCGTTAGATTATACTTTGGAAGAAATATAGGTAAGAAAGAAGTAACTATATAGAAAATAACAAACCCTTCGAAATGTTTTCCCGCT